ACGGGTACAAAGGGCATCCAAACTAAAGATTAACGGTAACGGAGTAGGCAGTGGTGTGCACGATAGGCGCGGCGTAGTCGCCGCTCTGGTGTATGCGTTGGAGGCGACCTAAGTTGCGATACGATGCCCTGAACCTCCGAATCTTGTCGTTGAGACTCAGTACAATTTAACACAGGAGTGCAATATTGAACATATTTTTTGGTTACCTCCTCGGCCTGTGATACCGGACTGCGAGAAAGGAAATCGGCATCTGTGATGTGCTTTCCACAATGGTCACAGATCTGGATCAGAAATTCTTAAAGCATTAGGGCCCAGCGAGCGAGTTTAATGGTAAGGTAACGTTTGGTTTGAAGCCATAATAACAATGAATTGTCTGTAATGGCATTGAAGTGAGGACCATAGATATAAAGCTGAAAGTGCTGGACAGCTCAGATGAGAGCGAGGCATTTCAGTTCTTACGCATGATACTGCTGTTCCGCATCCGTGGGACGTCGACTTGCGTAGGCTATGACCCGCTGAGTTCTGTCTGGATGGTGTTCTCTCAAAGGTGGAGCTCCCAGACAATTTTCGTTTGCGTCGGTGTGCAGGAAAGATAAAAATTTCGGATTGAAATGGCCTAAGATTGATGCCTGATGGAGTCTTGCCTTGACTTCGTTAAAAGCATGCTCCTCGCTTATAGTTCATTGCCATGGGATGTTTTGACGCAGAAGACGTGTTAGGGGCATTGCGCAATAGGCGAATTGTGGAATAATCCTCCGAAAAAGTAAAACGCAAAGCCGAGAAAGCTTTTTTTTCGGAGAGGCGGGTCGGTTTTGGTACCTTGATACCCCTTCTAGCTTCGCGGGGTCGCGTTTGATGTCATCTTAGCTGATGAGAACCTCTTCGAGTTCGAAAAAATATTTGTGAGGTTTGATCTGTAAATTCACCCGATGGAGTGCATCGAGAAGGAGTTCAACTCTTCGGTTGTGTTCTCAAAACGTTCTACCATAGACGAAGGTAAACTAGTGCCACCGTGCACTTGAGGTCACCTAGAACCCTATCCATCAGTCGTTTCAAAGTAACTGGAGCGTTACAAAGTTCAAACGGTAATGGTGTGAATTGATAAAGATCAACGGGAGTTATGAATGCAGATTATTCAGCGTCGTTCAGATTCAATGAAACTCGCCAATACCATGATAATGGGTCAAGGATCTTAAATAAAGAATCTAGGGCAAGGGGTGGACGTCTTGTTTCGTGATGCTGTTGATTTTTTTTTTTTTTTATTTTGCTAGGCGATCAAAGTTTTTAACCTCAGGATCGTTTATAGCGTCCACAAACGCGGCCGGGGCGGTATGATTCAAGGTATCGGGTGTCGCTCCCGGAAATGACTTGTAGATTAGGCGTTCTACACTTGATGGAAGTTTGTATAAACTCTCACTAGATTGTTGGTGCCGTAACCGGATTTCTGCGTTGTACGCTTGTTGCAGGTGGTCATCACCAAAACGATGACGTAAGGTTGCGATTACTGCTTTGTATGCGAGACAGGCGCATTGAAGTGCCCGGCGAACGTTGAGCACCGGGCCATCAAGTTTGGCAATGGCAGCGCGTGCCTTATCATCTTCGGTATAATGAAGTGCATCGGCCATTATGTCGACCTGGTGTAGATAGACTTTCAGTTGGTTTTCACCATTCAATGGCTTCAACTTGAAACGCTGCAGTGCAGGTGGTGCAGTCTGGTTTCGGGAAGGAATCTGCTTCGATGCAGTGACTGTTGATTGTGGCAATTGCCCAAGTGCATCCAGAGCAGCTACTCGGCGATGGATGTCGGCATAATTTGCAGCTAAATTGTCGTACTGTTTCTGCGCAGCTGCCATGATTGCTTGCGTGTGTTGTTCTAGTAGCCCTTGCAGGACTTCGAGTGTTACCACTGTTGTCTGAGTGTTTGTTGCTGCCACAGCTGCCTGCGAAGTGATGTTATCTCGTAGCTAGTTCGAGGCCTGCAGTAGGCTCACCGGAAAGTTCCCGTTTGAGGGCAGAGGTCCTTGACGTGTTTCAGTCGGCATTCCACTGCTGCCACCAAATTGTAACGGTTTATTTTCTGACTGATGAACGTCCTTCTTCTGGCACACCCGACCAAGTCCCTTGCTTCGTCGTTCTTAACTTGTTTTTTCTCGTCTCTCTTTTCTTTCTTACTGCTACAATAGTGTGCTACATATCAGACATTATACGCGTAACTTTTTTTCAGATATATTTCACGTTATTTATGACAAAAATAAATTAAATAGTTTTTATATATTTAGCACAACTATAATGCCAGTGTTGCTGGTATAATTATTTTCTATACATACACGCAATAAGGCTAAATATGGCATGCCTAAATTTGTATCCTGCTTATTGCATAAGTAGGATCCAAATTTAGGCATGTGGCATTAATGAGGCAATCAATGTGAATATAACACGTTTTGTAGTTCCAATCATTCAGACTAAAATTGTGCAAGCATTCGACAAAGCGTTCGCACAAAAGTGGAGAAAGAAAAATAATTTCTAACTCTCCATGTTGCGTTTTATATAAGAATATTTAGCTCATATATTCCTAGGGGTTCGGGGGGGGGGGGGGGATATAAACTTTAGAATATATAATATACGAAATGGCGCAAAAAAACGTCACCTGTCTCACGCCGGCGCATAGCACTGCCACCGGGCGATCGATACTTTTTCCGATGAAAAGTTTTACAGTCACTTTCATGTGTGAATGTTTTTGTAATATAATTATGCAAATGTCGAACACATAGACACTACAGACATTTTTAGTGGCGAGTAGGAGCGAAGCATTTCACGCTCTTGAATAGGCGACACCGTCAACACCACGTCAACACAAACAAAAACCAAAATAACAAAGCCGTTTTTACGGAAACGTCAAAGCTGTTTTCACGTGTTGCGAAAAGGAGGCCACGGATGTGAAAGTAATATCAATATCAATTTTGAACTCGAAGATAAAAATTGTCTCTGCCTTATGAAAGTAATTTTATTTCATGCAGTGGTTTTCTTTCGCGTATATTCAAATATAGTGTTACAATGGCAGATGTAAACATTTTAAAAAAAAGTATCCACCTTTCAAATGACATCATGGTTCCAAATACTAAGAATGGTGTATCATATTGATTTACACTTTATCGCAGCAGATATCGGCCAGGTAGAGATAAGTATGTCCACCATCCCGACATCCTATACATCGGGAAGAAGGACATATGCTACTCCAACGCCATATAGATGGCGGGGTGGTAGTTCCAAGATGGCGTAAGAGACGGGGAAACACTCTCAGAGAAAGGGTATATTCTCACACCCCTCGACCAATATACAACACCCTCAAACCTTCAGTTCGACGTACAGGGCGCTGACGTCGATCTGACGCTACCAATTTTCACTAGCGGCTTGATAGCCGAGTGGTACAACTTATTAAAATAGCTAATGTACGTGTTACTGACCACAAAAAAAGTAATCGGGGTTTTCTTGGCCCTACTGTAAAACCTCGGCGTTTATTTTCTGTAGTCTCTGATACGTACTGTAGTTGTTTAGTGAAGTATACCTTTCCGTCCTCAAACCCTTCGTAAACGTTGGGCCCGTCTATTTGACGTCAGTGCGATGTACGTCGAACTTTAGTTTTGGGATGTCGTATATGGGACAAGGGATGTAAGAATATACCCTTTTTTTCTGAGAGTTCATTCTCCGGGATTTTCCGTGCGCCTGCTCGCGCCTGCTCGCTGACGTTGGTCAGTGCTCTATAAATAATTTATTTGTCTATAAATGCGAAGTTGTCAGGCCAGGGGCATATTACAGATGCGGAGAGGTTGAAGTGTGTTAGGAAAACCAGCATGCATGTTGATATCTAAATGTGGCGGAAACCTCAACTTCCGAAGCTTTGTTGAGGGCGAGCGTGTTTTGGGCACCGGTCACGTCACTGTTTTGAGCGAATATTTCTGAGGGTGATGAGCTTGTGGTGTTTCCACTTTGTCTGGCCATTCGTGATCTAAGAAGTAAGCCGCGCACGGTGACCGTCAAGATCCGGAAGAGCAACGCTCACAGTATTTCTGTCTCCGTACCACAGGCTCTCAACGCGCAGCTCACGGTCGCACTTTTAGTGTATTGCAATTTGCAACACGTGATCAAACTGTGCTATGGTTATTGATAGGAAGTTCTAGCATAGCGTGACCGCAGGCTACCGCACAATGCGGCGTTGCAACCGGAAGCTCGCGCTGTGCCTTTAGATGCTCTGTTAAGGCCTGTTCACACATACAGCGGAGCGCTATAAGCAGAGCGCTGACTGCGCTAAGCGCTTGCCGACGGGAGCGTTCACCAGCATTGTATCGCACTGTCAAAACTGCCGCTCATGGCAGACGATAAGTAGCTGACGACACGGTCCTCACACGCGCTTCGCTGCATGTGAGGACAGGCCTTTATTAGCGGGGTTAGATCAGGTTAGATGTTTCGGTGGCGCCCTCGTTTAGTTACCTCTCGTGACGTCATTACCTTGTGAACAACAAGTTCGATGGTGTTTGTAATGGACATGGTGGAAGCCTGAAATCATTGCGCTCTCAAAGCAACACTGCAAACACCGCCGAAATCGAAGTTTTTACATTCCTCTTATTTCCGTCGATGATACATCCTTTGCTGACGTCATAGTCAGCATTCGGCCAATTGTGATGGGCCGACCACAGCGACGCAGCGTAGAAAACGCGGCGTTGCGCATCGCACACAGGTATTGATTGGTCACAGATATCTAGTTCCTGCTCGCCGGCCAAAGAAAAGCACGCGTTTTGCGCGTTTTGTGCCGCACTACTTTCCCTGCGCTTAACGTCGGAGTATAACGTTGGAGTATCATTGCCGTGCTTATGGTAGCCTGCGGTAACGCTATGCTAAAACTGACTATTAACATCATCGGCGTGGTTAGGAGACTTATTCATTGCTTTGGCAACGGTCTCTTTGCTTTGGCAACGGTCTCACGACACTCTTTTCGGCCCATACTCACGCTGCTCCATGTACCAGGTGCTGATTTGGATTCTCGCTGTCACGGCGAATTCCGTCGGGACGGCGGCAGCCCCAATCTACGAGTCATGGCCAGCGACGACCTTCTTTTCGTCAACTCATCGTCCCCTCGAGCCACCGGATTTTCCAGAAAAGTTTCTGTGTCATCTTGAAGACCCACAGATGGCCAGGCATCGAGGGACGTTTCCGGATCCGCTGCACCGTTGCCATAATAGGGAGCTACTTCGCCTTCAGCCGCTGGGGCACGACACTCTTTTCGGCCCATACTCAAGCTGCTCCATGTACCAGGTGCTGATTTGGATTCTCGCTGTCACGGCGAATTCCGTCGGGACGGCGGCAGCCCCAATCTACGAGTCATGGCCAGCGACGACCTTCTTTTCGTCAACTCATCGTCCCCTCGAGCCACCGGATTTTCCAGAAAAGTTTCTGTGTCATCTTGAAGACCGACAGATGGCCAGGCATCGAGGGACGTTTCCGGATCCGCTGCACCGTTGCCATAAAAGGGAGCTACTTCGCCTTCAGCCGCTGGGGCACTACACTCTTTTCGGCCCATACTCACGCTGCTCCATGTACCAGGTTAGTTATTTAAATCATTCAAAATGTTGCCGAACGAGCAATGTAATGCTTCTCAGAGTGTCGTGCCCAATCGACAAACGTGTGCTTTGTAGATACATGCATTTTGCTGGCTCTTGGGTGATTGCTACATTGATGTCTTTGTGCTGTGAACTATCGTTTTCGTTTTTTGAGACCTTGTTGCTTTTGTCGGGTGACGTGGAGCTAAACCCCGGTCCCATGACTAAGGCACAGATTGAACAGCTTGGGAAAATTGAGACCATTTTGTTGGAATTGCAATCTGGTCAAATGACTGTTTTGGGAAAGTTAGCTGGTATTGAGGCAAAACAAGCTGATCTTGAGAGGAAGTTTGATACCATAAGCTTGAAAACTAATGATATTGAAAAACGTGTTTTGCAGATTGAAGGAAGTGGCAGGAAATTAGAAGCAAAATTAGGTGATCTTGAAAACAGAAGCAGGAGGACAAATTTGGTATTTTTCGGAGTTCCCGACAACTCTCGCAGTGAAACGTGGGAAGAATTGGAAAGGCTGATCACAAAAATCTGCAAAGACGTGTTATCGCTCGATGTTTTAATTGAAAGAGCCCACCGATTGGGGAAACACAAAGATGGGAAAAACAGACCAATTGTAGTCAACTTCCCGGGTTGGAAGGTCAAAGAGTCTGTGTTGCGAAGTGCTTTTAAATTCAAGAATACTTCATTCAGTGTCTCCGAGGATTTTAGTCTTGCAGTCCAAGAAAAGAGGCGTCAACTTTGGAATTATGCGAAGGAGAAAAAACAGAACAGAGAGAACAAGGTTCATTTAAACCACGATAAACTGGTTATCAATGGACAGACGTTTATCTGGGACAGCGAAACGAGACAACCTGTTTTATATCGGGCGCCTGGCCAACCAAGAGAACACGAATGACGGGTCGGAAAGCCTAAAGATGGCCCAAGCAATCATGAGGCTACAGCTACAAAACAGGCGCCTTCAGTACTATTGGTAAATTGCCGTAGCATCAAAAATAAAGTAGACGAGTTTGCACTTTTGTTGGAGACCCTTAAACCTGAAGTTGTTATGGGGACGGAGTCTTGGTTAGATGATACTGTTAGTGACGCTGAGGTATTTCCGGCGGGTTTTACAGTTTATCGCATAGACAGACATCGGCACGGTGGGGGAGTTTTTCTACTAATTTCTAATAGATGGACTAGTCATGAACTGGTTTTCGAAAATGCTACCGAGTCTGTCTGGTGTCGGGTCTTTTTCCCAAGGGGAACTGCTCTCGTGTTCGGGACCTTCTACCGCCCCCCTGATAACAGTGAAACTTCAATTTGTTTGCTCTGTGACATGTTATCAGTGATTCCTGTCAGTGTTTTTCTAGGTGGTGATTTTAATCTGCTAGATTTTAACTGGTCTACTGGAACAACAGAATGTATTGTTAAATCACGCGTTAACACTGTGTTTACAGAGGTATTGGGCACTTTCGGCTTCAATCAATATGTGCAGCAGCCGACGAGGTTGAACGCCATTCTAGACTTGGTCTTATGTAATGACCCTAATATTGTAGCTCAGGTCGGGGTGTATCCTGGAATAAGTGACCATAGTGTGGTTGTTGCAACGCTAAATGTATCTGGAGCACCCGAGAGGGCACAACTTCCACGCAAGGTATTCATGTATGAGAGAGGAAACTTTGACGCCATCGGCACTGAATTGGACAGCTATTTTTCAACCTTTTTATGCTTAGCAGAATCGCACTGTCTAGAAGATCTGTGGAGCATCTTTCGTAATAAAATAACAAACTTAATCGACACTTTTGTACCATCGAGGATTATTCGACAAAAACGAAAACAAAAACCATGGTTTAATATTGAAATTCGTAAACTCGTAAGAAGAGCGCGGTGTGCATATAGAAGGGTTTCCAGAGATGGCTGTCCAATAAACCTGCAAAGGCTAAAGGAAATTAATTACACATTAAAGTTATCTATAAGAAAAGCGAAGAAGTTATTTTTCTCCCGGCTAAACGATGATCTTAAGCGAAATCCCAAAGTGTTCTGGAATTACGTTAAAACAAGTAGAAAAGATGATATTTCTATCCCATACTTAAATGTTAACAATACAATAATCAAGAGTGATGCTGAGAAGGCAGAATGCTTTAATTCTTACTTCAAATCAGTATTTTCTCAAGAAACAACCAGCGATGAATCACCAGTATCTGTTATTTCCGGTAACACAATGGCAGATATTGAAATTGATGTTAACGGTATTACTTGCCTCTTGCGTGAAATGAATACCTCGAAGGCAACCGGACCTAATGGATTACCATCGATTGTTCTTTGTAAGTGTCGAGATATTATAGCCCAGTATTTATGTCTCATGTTTAAAATTTCCCTTGAAACTGGGGCAGTTCCACACGATTGGAAGGTAGCAAATGTTATTCCTGTTTTCAAGTCAGGGGATAAAAAACTTGTAGAAAATTATAGGCCTATATCTTTGACGTCAATTAGTTGCAAATTGTTGGAACATATTATATATCTTCGTGGCTCAGAAGCGCAAAACTATTAAAGACTTTTCTAGGGCGAATGACGAATCTGTTCTAGATTACCTTGAGTTATCCTTAGATACATTTTCTGGGAACGACGTTAATTATTTGTGGAATAAATTTAAATCAATCTGTCATTTTTGTCTTCGAAACTTTATTCCTAATAAAAGTAAATATGTGCGCCGCAAAAACCCCTGGATGACACGCGAAATAATTCATCTAGTACGGAAAGTAAAAAGAAACCGTAGAAGTCCAGTTCACAGTTCCTCCCTCCCCTGCCTAAAGCGAGCACTGGCAGCTAAAATTCGCACAAGTAAGCAGTTCTATCATTCCAATACACTCACACGATTCCTTAAGACAGATCCAGCGAAGTTTTGGCGACACCTCAGCTCAAATCAACAAAAAACTGTCGATTATGTCAAAATTGGGGAAATGTTGGTTCACGACAAACAACAAATAGCTACGGAGTTTAATCTTTTCTTTCAGTCAGTGTTCTCGAAGTCTTACACTAGACATTCCTCCTTTAACGAAGAAGCTGAGGTAAGCTCAGAGTTCATCACGTTTGAAGGTATCTTTTCTATGCTACTTAACCTCAAACCTAAATCGTCAAATGGTCCTGATGATATACCAAATGCATTTCTTCGTCGTTACGCTGAGTGGATTTCTAGATTCCTTGTTGTTATCTTCCAGATGTCATTTTCATGCGGCGTTGTTCCCTCAGATTGGCGAATTGCTCGGGTTGTACCCGTTTTTAAAAAAGGAGACCGTACGATGTTAACGAATTATCGCCCAATTTCACTTACCAGCTCTTCGTGCAAACTACTGGAACATATAATTTCTAATTACATCAATGATTTCCTCGATAAACATGAAATAATCTCGCCTTTTCAGCATGGGTTCCGAAAGGGACTTTCTACTACTACTCAGCTCATTTCAACTATTCATTCTTCTGCTTCTATAGTAGATAGGCCTGGTCAAGTCGACGTCATCTTCCTTGATTTTAGCAAAGCCTTCGACAGAGTTCCTCATTCCGGTCTTATATACAAACTAAATGAGATTGGCCTTCCCAGCACAGTTGTTCAATGGATTTCAGCTTATCTTCAAATGCGAAAACAATTCGTCGATGTAGTCGGTCACCATTCTGATCCTCTTCCTGTAATTTCGGGTGTTCCGCAAGGGAGTGTCCTTGGCCCTCTTCTTTTATCAATTTTTATTAATGACCTCACTTTTTGTATAGATAAAAGCGTGAGTATTCGTTTATTTGCGGACGACTGTCTATTGTTCAAGGATATTAACTCTACTAGGGACCAAGTTGTTCTGAACGAAAGTCTTAATGCAGTTTCTAGCTGGTGCGATCGTTGGGAGATGAAGCTTAACCAAGAAAAGTCCTTGTACATGCGCATCACTAACAAAAAGTCCTCTCATCAGTATGAATACTTTATTGGTGATAACTACATCTCTCGGACGATGAGCTTTAAATATCTTGGTATTACAATTTCTAGCAACTTATCTTGGTCCTCACACATTGAACACGTTTGTGCAGCTGCCCGTCGAAAACTAGGTATGATAAGGCACAAGCTTAAGCACGTGCCTTCTCATGTGAAACTTTTAGCCTATAACACATTGATAAGAACGAAGTTAGAACACGCCTGTACAGTCTGGGATCCATTCACAAAAAAAGATATCAAGATACTGGAAGATGTTCAAAAGCAAGCAGCTCGTTTTATATTTAATCGCTACCACCCACATGACTCACCTGCTGCCTTAATTCAAAGTAACAACATCATCTCTCTTGAATCACGAAGGAAGCTAGCTATACTAAAATTTCTTTATCAACTCTGGTTTAAAAAACTCCGGCTTGAATCGTCGTCCTTTCTTCACCTATCCTCGACTAGGCACACAAGGCATGACCATCCGCATAAAATAACTCCAGTATTCGCTCGAACAAATGCATTTAAATACTCCTTCTTTCCCAGAACCATAACAGAAAGGAACAACCTACCTCATCACATATTTATATCTGACAATGTTTTGGAGTCGATTGAGCGTTTGTTTGATGTGTAACTTTTTGCATTGTGTTTTATTTTCCTGTTCCCCACTACCGCCACTCCTCCCAACTTTGTTGTGTGCTACTACATGTGCTTTGTTACAACTTTTGCATACTTTTCCCCTGTTCCCCTCTCCCATTTTACGGATTACCTGGTGTTGCGTTTTTTTTTCTTTACTTGACTTTTGTAACCCCCAATCCTGCTTGGGCCGCAATTGGCCCGCAGTATTCCTAAATAAAAAAAAAATAATAGTGAAGTTTTCGATTACCTGGAATCCTGTAAATTTCTTGCCCCTTCCCAGCATGGCTTTCGCAGAGGGTGTTCATGTAACACACAACTGGCAGAATTTCAACATTACATTTCAAAATCACTTGACAGCAATACTAATGTAGATGCAGTTTTCCTTGATTTTCGTAAAGCCTTTGATACTGTACCACACCACCTACTACTGAAGAAATTAGCATCTTTAAATATAACTAACAATATTCAAAAGTGGATAAAAAATTACTTAAGTGGCCGAGAGCAGTGCGTGGTTTTAAATGGTAGCAAGTCATTACCTATAACTGTGAGTTCAGGAGTACCCCAAGGCAGTGTCTTGGGACCATTATTGTTCTTAATTTATATTAATGATATTGTAACTGACATTCAATCGCCGATTAAGTTGTTTGCGGACGATTGCGTTGTTTATAGACAAATATATTCAACAATGGACATAGAAATATTGCAAAGCGACCTAGATAAAATAGAACACTGGTGTGATAAGTGGAAAATGAGTTTAAATATTGGAAAATGTAATTATCTCAGCTTCACAAAAAATGTATCAAGGTCTCCCGCCAGCTATACCATTAAAAATGCAATAATCCGCAGAGTAAGCGACTGTAAATACTTAGGAGTTAATTTCACCCAATCCCTTAAATGGCACAATCATATTGACTATACAATAGCAAAGCAAGCAAAATGTTATATTTTATCCGGAGGAATTTCAAGGGCGCTTCAACAGAGGTGAAAGAAACTCTTTATATTTTGCATGTTAGGTCGATACTCGACTATGCATGCATCATTTGGGACCCATACCAAGATTATCTTATCGAAAAATTAGAAAAGGTACAGAATCAAGCGGCACGATTTGTCAGCAATAACTATAACTCTTATGCAAGTATCTCTGAAATAAAAGCCATGCTGGGATGGGAATCATTAAACACTAGAAGATATAAGTTAAGGTTGAAGTTTTTTCATCGGATTTATTATAATGAAACTGGCATTGATAGAAATGAGTATTTGTATAAACCAAGTTACATGTCAGCGCGGTTCGATAACTCTGAAAAGGTTTTTGAGTACTG